TGGAGGTGAGGGAAACTTGATTAGAGACTGCATTGAAGAGGACACGCATCATATTTGTCCTAGAGGGTACACAAAAAGAGAATCAGGATCTACTGATGAAAACAAAAATCCAAAAGCTGCCTAAAGATGGCAACAGAGCACCTTGATTTGTCATCGCAGCTCATTAGGCGGAAGGCTTAAAAGGCTTATTAGTTATCTACTGCTACATAATAAATTCTCTCAAAATGTGGTGGTTTAAGACAGCAAACACTTATTATCTCACAGTTTCTGTGGGTCAGAAATTCTGCAGTGGCTTCATTGGGTGGTTCTTTCAAAGGGTCTCCAATGAGATTTCAGTCAAGATGCTGCCATGGACTGCCGTCATCTGAAGGCTCACTCAGATCTCTGAGGCTGTTGGCAGGAAGCCCTGGTTCCTCAGAAGCAGCTGTTGGGAGGAGGTCGCAGTTTTTTGCGAAGTGGGCTTCTCTAAAACACAGCTGCTTGAGTGTTCTCATGACATGGCAGTTGGTCTCACTGAGAGGGAGTGATTCAACAGAGAGCCCAAGGAGGAAGCCACAATGCCTTTCTGACCTAGTCTCAGAAATCGGACACTGTCACTTCTGCCATAAATTTACTGGTTGGAAGCGAGTCTGCAGTGTTTGGCTCACAGTCAAGGGCAGGGGAATTGAGCTCCACCTCTTGAAGGGAGGAGTATTCAACAAACTATGGACAAAGCACCTGTAACAAGGTCACACAAGTGGACTTTGAAAGTTCCTTCATATCTGAGATTCTCCAATTCTATTCATGAATCAGTAGACAAAGGGCAAACCTCATAGGTGTCCATTACTTGAGTCATATCACCTTGGAAACAGCCCACTGGAGCTCTGATAACTAATGTATTTGTCAAGAGGAGAGTCTACCTAACGGCTTCCAGGAAACTCCATCAAGCAGCAATGAGGTTTGACTGAAACTGCTTGTGTGATGTAATGAGAAAAATATTTATGATTTTCAGAAAAGAAAGTGGACACAGAAAAGGCTACAGTAGGAGATTGTGTGATTATATTATTCTTGGGACCAAAAAAGTGATTAACAATATACAGCAGTTAAGTTTTTTTTTTTTAATTTTGGAAATTGTTTTGTTTTATTTGGATGTGTAGAAAAGAAAGACTTCTGAGCTTTCTTGTTACTGGAAATTACTGAGCATCCAGGAGCCAGGAGTTTATAGTTATACTCTTATGACAGTGAAAAAGCAATAAATGGAAGTCATGGTCCAAACATGAAGCAAATTAATTTATAGCTAATTTGGAGCAATTGATAGAAAGGAGAATCCACTTGATCTCAATGACTGAAACAGTCTCCTTTTACAGGCAGAGGTTTATGACAAACCCTGATTTCTACATGTCCGATCTTCTGCTTCTAGGGTATGCAGTGAGCACTATTTATACTATAATCCTGATGCTGTCAATGCTGGTCACTGACACTATTTAGAGTCAACCCCTGATCAAACTGCAGAGATAAGCATAGATATAAGAAGGCACATGTTAATAATCATAACAACAATGGTATTGTTGACAGAGATTGAGGTGAGGTAGGAGAGTGAAGGAGGAAGAGAAAAGGAGAAAAGCAAGTGCTATAGGGTCTGAATGTTTGTTTCTTCCAAAATCCATGTTGAAACCTATTCCCCAATATGGCAGTATTAAGATGTGGGACCCTGAAAAGGTGATTAGGTCATGAGGACTGTGCCCTCATGAATGGATTAATACCTTCACAGATTAATGGGTTATCATGGGACTGGAACTGGTGGCTTTATAGGAAGAGGAAGAGAGACCTGAGTTAGCACACTCAGCCGCCTCACCATGTGATGTCCTGTGCCCCTATGGACTCTACAGAGAGTCCCCGCCAGCAAGAAGGCCCTCATCACATGCAGCCCCCTGACCTTGGACTTCTCAGCCTCCATGACTGTAAGAAATAAATTAATTTTCTTTACAAATCACTCAGGTATTCTGTTAGTTTTAGGTATTCTGTCATAAGCAACAGAAAACAGACTAACAGTGCATGAAAACAGACTAACAGAAAACAGTGCATGAACTTTCCTCAACTTACATAGTTGAAGTGGTGAGGAATGTTTGATAGACATTATATAACGTTAATGGATCAAGAAATAGTGTGTTGAAGTGCAATAATTTTTAAAATATTATTTCAAGTTAGAGTAGAATTCCAACAAAAATCAGGAAGGAAGAGAAGTGGGATATGGTGGGGGCTGGGTTTTTAATTTTTTCACAGAAAGGGGTCACAAGTTACTGACTAATCAAGAAATAGATGTGTGAGCACATTCTATAGAGTGAGGGTGTTTCCCATGAGAATAACCAGAACCAAAGACTGACTGATGGCTCTGGAAATGGAGTATAAAAGGTGACTTTCACATCTTTGATTCCTGTCCTTCTATACTGTTTGAATTTACTTTGTTTCCTACTTCTATACCATTTGAATTTATTTTCTTACCACATACTTAACATTCATACCTGTTATAGAAAGTTCACACAATTGGTAGCATCTGTAAGTTGACATTAGCCTATGTTCGCCAGGTTTTAGTAGATAAGCTTCACAAGCATCAACACCTCCAGTTAACAAACGGCAAGGTTTCACTTATTTCATAAATTGGCACTTCACACTTAATGCTTCCTCTTGAAATAAAGAGTTTATAAATCACTACATTGGTAATAAAAACTATATAACGTGAGCTAAAATACTATGGCTTATCCTTAAATATGCATTTTTGTACCACCAAAAATGAAAAGCCAACCAAAAAGACATTACCGTTTTCAGGGTTAACACAAATAGGTAAGAGTCCAGGCTCAGTAGAGTACTGTGATACTCTTTTTAGGAATAATCGATGAAACAATTTTAATGCCCCCCGCAACCCACCGCTGCCCAAACACTAAGGGTTATTCTTCTGAGGTTTTTTGTTTGTCTGTTTTATTATACTTTAAGTTCCGGGATACATGTGCAGAATGTGCAGGTTTGTTACATAGGTATACACGTGCCATGGAGGGCTTGCTGCACCCATCCATCTGTCATCTACATTAAGTATTTCTCCTAATGCTATCCCTCCCCTAGCCTCCTAGCCCCTGACAGGCTCCACTGTGTGATGTTCCCTTCCCTGTGTCCACGTGTTCTCACTGTTCAACTCCCAGTTATGGGTGTTTGGTTTTCTGTTCCTGTGTTAAGTTTGCTGAGAATGATGGTTTCTAACTTCATCCATGTCCCTGTAAAGGTTTTATGGAAACCCCATGTCCATCCTCCGCATATGTTTAAAACAAACCAGGTTGGGTTTAACTATCTAACTGGAAGAACATTCAAAGGATTCAACAATGATTAAGATACCAAAGAATAAAACTAGTATTTGTCTTGTTTTAACAAAACATGACTGTTAAAAAGCACATCTCCTTGGAGTAACCTAGGTACTACGTACAGAGGGTAGAAGGAAAGACTATGGCAAAAAAAAAAATATATATACATATATACAGCTGGTGGTTAGCGTCCAGGTGGAGAAAAAGGCCTTTTATATAAAGTGTACTTTTTCTCTGAGGAATGAACAAAGAGATTTTATGAAAATGTTTTGGGCTTCTATAGAAAAAGTATTTTTATACCCATAAAAAACACTCAGTCTTCTACTTCATAAACTACGAAGGGACGTGTACTATAGCAATTGACAACAATCACACAATATACATCAGGCACCACTCACGCTTTCTGTAAGGAAATTTACAGGAAGGGTTAAACTACCACAACTCCCGTGGATGACCTATAGTGCTTGTATTAAAAAAAACAAAAGCAACAAAAAACACAAGAATGGACTAGTACACTGAGCTATTGCAATGAAAATGTACAAACTCCTACTGCATGTAACATGGATGAATCTAACAAGCTTAAATACTGACTGAAGACTAGACACAAGTGATACATACTCCTGATTCTATTGACATAATAAATAAAACCAGGCAAAACTAACCATGGTGTTACAAGTCAGCATACTGTTTAACTTTGGAGGGGGTAGAGATCAGAAGGGGTCAAAAGGGGACTTCTGGGGTTGTGGTAAAGTTCTATTTTTTTTTTAAATCTGGGTGCTGGTTACAGGGGGGTGGGTTCACTTTGTGATAATTCATCAAGCAGTTGCAGTTATGATTTGTACACTTTTCTAAAAATGTACGTATGCTTCCGTTAAAAAGTTAACTTAAAAAAAATAACATATGGTGCCCCTGCTAGTGTATGTGTCACCTTTATGCAGATTTTCTTAATGTGTCCCCTCTGGAGAGATGGATTAGAAAAAGGCAACCCTGTGGTCAGCGGCCGCCCCACAACTCTGTGCCTTCACAAACAGAGGGTGGGCTGGGTTTCATCCCACTGGTGCTTGGCTGGAAACAAAACCACACATCTGGATGGACATCTGCAAATCTGCAAAAACACTCATTTGACCCTCTCTCAGCACAGCTTTATGAGGAGGGCAGGGCAGACGTCCTTGTTTTACAGATGAGGAAATGGCATGGAACAGCAAGACTGAAGCACGAAGGTGTCATGGCTAACGAGCCACAGAGCCAGGACTGACCTCTAGGCCAGTAGCTCTTCACTCGCTTCTCATTCCTTTTGGGGAATGGGAACAGGAAGAAGCTTCTCTCTCTATTACTGTGTGCCTTGTTATGGGGTCACCTCAAGTGCTTTGCAGAATAAGACAGGGCATGAATACGTGGTCCAATGTTGTTAATACTGGACTTTAGTAAAGGTCCTTGGTTCTAAGCTTATTTGAAATATATTCTCTAAGTGTGTACTTAAAAATGAACATTCATCTTTTACATGCTTACCTATGGAAAACGATCGCAGAACAGGGAGGTTCAGACAGCAATAAAGCATGCCGACCCTCCTGCAGTTTAAAATTATTGACTTAAGGGTATACATATTTTCATTTTTTCTTGAAAAAATAAAACAAAAGAGAAAGACGCACACAATGCACATGTCTCACTTACCTAGAAGTGTCTGCTTATTTTGGGAGGAGTCAGGCTCGGCAGAACATCTGCACGAACGGAGAACAATCACTCCGCCTAGCACGCCATCTTCACTGGCGAGGAAAGGTGAACCTAGGCAGAAAGGACTAGTAGTCATTTTTCAGTGAATTTTACTTTTTTAATTTTCAATTTTCACTTGATTATTAGAACAAAAATGTGGCATGAATAAGATCTTGAAAGATGCCCATTTTCTGACAACCACCATTGTTCATACCTCATTATACACTTGATGGCAAAGGCAGGTTTATGCCTGAACAGGGGCCATTTGGCAAAGAAAATGCCACATGCTGTCAGGAAGATGTAAGTGGGGGAGGGAATGTGCATTACTGTATTCAGAATGGAACTGGAAACGCTACCAGATTAAAGGACCAAAACCCAAATACAGGAAAAAATGCTCAACAACTCTCTTTGATCAGCTCTTAGGGATCACTTACCACAGGCTCTCCCTGCTGTCAGGGACACACCACCAAAAGCTTCAGTTTACTACCTTAAATGCAATTTGAAACAATAAGCCACAAACTTTATTATAAACATTTTTAAATGCTTCTGATGGTTCACACAAATAAGGGTGAAACTGCATTTCTATGATGAGAGTCTGGTGGTTAGAAAGAGTTGGGCCTCTTTGGGATCTCACACACTGAACCACTGTGAGCATTTCAAGAACATTATATTTTAAAACCCCTCATTTTTCTTCCCCAAGGACATCTTCTTCAAACATCTGGCATAGCAAGTGAGCACATGGAGAACAAATGCAAAATTAACCCAAGAACTATCAAAGAGAGTAGTAAAAAATCAAACCCAACCAAATTGGATTTGGTGGGAGCTTCTGGTTAAACTTACTATATTAAATACACGTATTTTTCTCCCTCCCTCCCCAAATCCTACTGACCTGATGGGAAAGGAAGAAAAAAGCCATAGCCCAATAAGGGCAGAGAAAGAGGCAGACAAGGAAAAAACTGACCTTTTGGAAAATGGTAAGAAGACAGATAAGTGGTTGCTCACCTAGCAAACCCACGAAAGCTGAAATCTAAGTTTTCATGAGGCAGGGGAAAATTGGAGTGGAGGATACCCACAGGAAACCAAACCAGTTTTGCCATAAAATGCAAAAAGGTTCAGAAATTGGAGGCTTCAAGTTCCTCTGAAGGCAGGGGTATGAGGTAGAGATGATAAAAGATGGTAAGTTGACAGTGTCCAAAAGAATCCTCTAGATCAGAGGTTGTCCTGCTAAGAATGCCATCATTTTGTTTTGTTTTTAGTTTTTAAAGGGTTGTTTAAAAGAGAAAAAAAAAGGAGGAAGAGGAAGAGAAGGAGGACCAACATGCCACACAGACCGTGATACAGGCTGCAAAGCCCATAATCTTTATTCTCTAGCTCTTTCACAGAAAAACTTTGCCAACTCCTAATCTAGAACAGGAGATCAGAACTGCAGTTCCTTTCCAAAAAGGAAGTGACTCCTCCCTAACCCTGAAGAAGCCAGGATATTTACTCTCTAGAGAAGGTGAACCAGACAGAGTTGAGACTTGGGAGCATCAGGGTTAGCCCAGGGCAGGAAAGAGGTTACACACTGAAAACAGGGAGCTGAGGTATGTCTTTATGCTAAATAGTGAAATAACCAGCTCCCAGGATGCAAGAAATCAAACTGATATACTCCAAGAAGAGACTAGATAGATAGTCCCTTTCCAGCAACCCAGCCAACTCAAGACTAAAGACCTACTTGAGAGATGCCCGCAAGAAAACATGTCCTTGCCTTAGGGTGAGGGCTTCAAGATGACAAGTATGACTCATACACAAAAGGATTTTAGTTCAGCTTGGCATTTAACCATTAAATAGTTAATACCAAACCGTTGATATGTAACTAGTACAGACAATCTAGGATTATTAGTTGTTTTAGTTAGGTCTCTGTTTTAGGAAAGACAGAGACCAAAAAAACAAAATAGTTACACAGGGAAAATTTGGGCAAGTGTACTGAGCAGAAGAAAAGTAAAACAAAACAACAACAACAAAAAACATTAAAAAGACAGATGAAAAATGAGTGAAAAATATAAGAAAATCACAAGACTAGGCCAGAACTATCCAATATGTGAATAACAGGAGTTTTAGAGAGACTAGAAAAAATAAAAGGAGTAAAATTTCTAAGAAATAATTCAAAAACATTTCCAAGAATTTTAGATGAGTGTTCAAACTGAAAAGGTCCATCAACCTCCCAGTACAACTCATGAAAAAGGCACCCCATGAAGATTTATCCCTATGAAATATTAAGATACTAAGGAAGGAAAGAAGGGTCTAAAAACTTTCAAATGGGAAGAAAAGATCACATGGAAAGCAAGGGTATTACAATGGCATCAGATTTCTCAACAACAGCAATACCTGAAGCTAAAAGATTATGAGGCACTCTCTTCAAAATGCTGAGGAAAAATTATTTCCAACCTAGAATTCTATATTCAGCCAAAAGGTCAATAAAGTATGAAAGCGGAATAAAGCTCTACAAAGTCTCAAAGAGATTACCTCCCATGCATTCTTTCTCAGAAAGCTACAGGATGAATGTTCCTTGACAGAATGAAGAAGTGAGGTAAATAATGAGGAAGAAAATAAGATCTGGATACAGAGGATCCAAAACAAGAGAAGATAATGGGATTCCAGATGACAGAGCTATGCAGCAAGCTGAGAGAGCAAACTGAATTGGAGCATGAGGTCAGAGGAGGCCAGGAAAGGTAATTCTAAGGGGAGGGAAAAATAAACTGACTCAATACATGTTGGTTTGAAATTACTGAGAGAAAATGTTTCAGATTTTGAGGAAAGTTTGGAGATGAAGACTAGTACCAAAAAAATAATAAGACTTGTACAAGAAATGAAATGGAATCACAGTATACTATGTAGCTAGGATGTGAATCGCTAGAGTAAACAAATATAAACTCTCATACTGATAAGCAAAAAAAAAAAAAAAAAAGAGGGAGAGAAGTTTAATTTTCAGAACCACCCTGCCATGCAATTTTTTATCATCATTTACAGATGAAGAACCTGAGCTTCAGAGAGGTTCAATGACTTGCTACAGCCAAGCTATAGTTGAGCAGGAAATATGGCTTCCCCCAGCATCTTCTGAGCCATGATCCTTGCTTCATTTGTAGCAATGCCTCTCACGTAACAAAAAAAATCTCTGAAAAACCTCAAAATGCAACTGTGTGCTGGAAACCTCCATCCCAACAGTACTCAAACATGGCACCTCTACAACTGTTCCTTTTACCACCAAATCCAGAAACTTCTCCTGGCCTCCAATAACTCATCTAAGCTCAAAATCCTTTACCTCTTCCTTCTCCAACAAGTCAACACTTCACACCATGTCAAATCTGTTAGTTCTCCCTATGACCTCATTTTGGCCTGCCCCCTCCCTTCATTCCCACTGACAAGACCCTCAATGTATTCTCATTGTCCAAGAAACCCTGCAACCAGCTCTAATCTGGCCTTCTGTTCTAGTCATTCAAATCTCTAAATTAATTAATTTAATAAAAATGTACTAACTGCCAGGACTCTTCGAGGCACTGGGGATACAGAAGTCAACAAAGCCCCTGTATACATCTAGTTGAGTAGCTTGGGGGACAAGTATTAAACTCACAAACCAATATGGAAATCCACCCAATAGCAGTAAGTGTTATAAAGAAAATGAACCCGGTAAATGATGGAGAGTGTCAGTGGGGCTGAGCTTTGTCTACATCAAAGAGCAAGAAGGCCTCTTTTGGTCAGGAGCTAACCATGTGATAATCTGAGGAAAGACCATTCCAGGCAGATCGACCAGCAAATGCAGAGACTCTGAGGTGAGGGAGGGAGGGGGAAGAAAGGATAGAATATGAGTTTAAGAGAGGCCAGGGCCAGGTCACAGACTGTGATAACATTTATTTGGACTTGTAAAAGTTACTTAGCTGTGCAGAATGTAATGGCAAGGCAAGCATAAAAGCAACAACTAACTAAGCTGCTGTGGCAGCCCAGTTGAGAGGTGACAGTGGCCTGGGTGAGCCTTCTGACAGTGAGGGCTATCTACAGAAGTTGGGTCTGTGATATACTCTGCAAGTAGAACTAATAGAGTTGTTCGTGGAAGGGACATTGGAGGCATGGGAAACAGAGACTTCAAAGTTTACTGTAAAAAGAGATATGCATCCCAGGCCATATCATTAAACAACTGAAAAACCTGTAATAGCTCCCAACTGCCTGTAGAATGATGCCCAAATTCCTTAGTCTGGCGTAGCCTTTCTTATCCTTCCCAATCTTATCACCCTGTTTATTTTACACATCATTTGTACTTCCCATACTCTACTCCCCTAAGATTTCCCCCGGGCCCCTGGTTGTGAACTGTCCTTCCTGGCTCCCTTTCCCCTGATAAACTGAGTGTTCTTCAGCTCCAGTGCCTTTTATACAGATCCGAACTTTCTGGGGTAAAGGTATCTCATTCACCTTTGAAGCCCCCTAGTTATTATCAAAATAATTCCAACACACATACACACACACACACACACACACACACACACACACACTCCTGCCTACATCACTGTAGTGTGGCAAAGAGAATGGCAAGAAAGAAGAAAATGATCCCAGCACTTTGAGAGGCCAAGGCGGGTGGATCACGAGGTCAGGAGTTCAAAACCATCCTGGCCAAGATGGTGAAACCCTGTCTCTATTTGTAAAAATACAAAAATTAGCCAGGCATGGTGGTGGGCACCTGTAATCCCAGTTACTCAGGAGGCTGAGGCAGAGAACTGCTTGAACCTGGGAGGTGGAGGTTGCAGTGAGCCGAGATTGCGCCACTGCACTCCAGCCTGGGTGAGGCAACAGAGCAAGACTCCGTCTAAGGAAAAAAAAAAAAAAAAAGAAGAGAATGGCACTTTTACGCAAGTACTCTGAAAGCGAGCAGGGGCCCAGGCTACTACGCAAGCTTATATCAGCGTTGCATTTGGTATGAGCTCGTCCAATTATTTAATGAAAGTACGGTTAGAGCGCATTTCAAGATTCCATATTTTTTGTGGAAAATACTAAGATTTTTATATTATCACCATGGTGCCGGAAAAACACTAACACAGACAGAA